TAGAGCCGGGGTTGGGGGTGCCCACCCCCGGACCCCCGGACCCCCGCCGGGGCCCCGGGCCGGGGCTCGACAACCCTCGCGGAGAGTGAGGAGAGTGACTGAGAGGTCCGGACCCGGTCCTGGCCTGGATTGGATCAGTGGAGACGGGACCATCCGCGTGTCGAGCCTGTGGAAAGCGGTCCAGCGGCTAGTTCACGGCAACAAAGGGACCAGGGCCGGTAGGCGAAGGGCAACAGAAGTCGGCAGGCGAAGGGGGATCAAGACAATGGGAGAAAGAAAAGCGAGCGGTCACGAGAGGGAGAGACACGCGTGAGGGTCGCTTGCGAGAACGAGGGGGAAGAGCCTCAGAGGTCATCGCGCAAAGGGAGATTAGAGAGAGAGAAGTGGCAGTGAGCCAGAGGGCGCGAACGATTGTGAGACAAGGAGAGACACACAAGCTGGGACAATTGAGAAAGAAAGAGAGAGGGAGGGTGCATGCTGAAAAGTTGGTCGAGAAAGTGCGAGCAAAAGTCGGACGAGAGAGAGAATGGCGGTGCCTCAGCAACAGGTAAAACGTTACAAGTCAATCACTTTGCCGGTAGCTTAACTACGCGCTGGTTGTGTGTCGGGTAGCATCCAGGACAGCATCTTGTCACAGGGCCTGAAGCTAAGCTGGTTAATGGGTAGAGAAGAGAGTAGCTTCGAACAAAGGTGAAAAGTGAGGGAGAAGTCGGACATCTGCAGGGTCTCCGCACCAGGATTTACTGCCGATGTCAGCGAGTGGTCTTCTCTCAGGGTTCCTAGTGCTGCGAGAGAAGGTTAACAACAGTCGTATTTTTCATCACCACTTCGGGACACCCTTCACCACTTCAGGATGTAGCCTGCCTAAACAGGTGGTTTTCAGGGTCTTCGGACCTAGGACAACTTCAGGACCATTCAGGTCTGAAAATCCTGAATGGTCCTGAAGTGGTGAAAGCTCCGAAGACCCTGAAAACCACTTGTTTAGGCAGGCTGCATTCTCAAGAGGTGAAGGGTGGTTTTCATGGTCTTCGGACCTTTCACCACTTCAGGACAATTCATGATTTTCAGACTGCCCAAAACTCTCACTTGACCACTTCAGGACACCCTTCACCACTTCAGGATGAGGCCTGCCTAAACAGGTGGTTTTCAGGGTGTTCGGACCTTTCACCACTTCAGGACTATTCATGATTTTCAGGCTGCCCCAAACTCTCACTTCAAAATTTTCATTCCTAAATTTTCAGCTACCCGATAACCGCTTGTGAGTGCTGCATGATACTCCACGCTTGGTGTAGAGATGGTCGGAAGCGAACACATGATCTTAGAACAGTAGCGATTGAAAACCTGAGTAGGAAGGTTAAGAGTCGACCGAGAGTATGGTTTAAGTGGTGCGTGATTAAGATAGGTTCTAGTTAACGTCACAATTGTCCTCAAGGCTCTGCATCACGTACCACTCGCTTGAAGAGGATGAGATCTATTGGTTCAGGGGTCGTGGGAGAAAGAGGGTGGAAAGAAGGAGATTGGACGCTTCCAGGAAAAAGACGCGACCCCTACTACGTATGTTTGTCGTCCCATCGACTTCTGTTTTTCTTGGCCTCACTAGGTCGTGGACAGTCTTCTCTCTGAGAGTTTGTGATTGCATCAGGCGTTGCCCAGAAAAAGGGGCTGATTCTGCGTTGTTATGCCAGATGAGTGTGTGAAGAGCAGTACATTGGGTGAAATCCCTGAAGGGGAGTTGTCAGATATAGATTAGGCGGAGGGAGAGAGGGAGATGTGTGCTTGCGATAAGCGAGGAAGAGATCATGAGGTTCGAAGAGGCATGGCGAACACTACTTATCTAGTGCGCTCGTCAGGCACTGACGACTTTTTCTACGACCTTGCCCTTACTATAATCCAAAACCGTTTATGTACGAGCCTATTGCTATTACCATAGTTCCACTAGAACGAGTGGGCTAGAAAGACTTCGTGTGCGCGCCCTGTCTAATTGGTACGTGACTAGAGCGTGACATAGTGTAGAGCGTCGCAAGCCTACGCATCAGGTGCCGGCAGAAGAGAAGAGAAAAACTAGTGCAAAAATTCAGTGAGAACTATGTAGAAGAGATTCGATTGACGACAAAACGGAATTCACAGCGACGCAGTGTACTTCTTGCGGTTGGCGCTTCCCCTGTTTTGCTCTGTCTAAGTTGGTCATCTTGTTAGTTTCATCATCGTTCACAAACTTCAATTATTATCACATTTTTTACTAGCGCCGGTTTCTGGCCATTGGAGTTGAGATCTGACATGGTTGTTATGTGATCGTGGGAAACACTCGAAGCTGGCCTGAGAGATCAATGAGAATGGGCTTTGGAGACTCGACCTTTTGTCGAGTACACACGAGAGAACGAAGTCAACCGATTCACAGGTAGTTGCGTATTGAATCTTATCTCCGCCCTAGTTATGACAACTAGAGTTACTGGATTTAGTTAAAAGTCAACGTTGAATAAGGAGGAAGATGAAGTTGCAAATATTGGTGGCTTTTGGATCAATCAATGATTGTTATTGCAGCTTTAAATTTGAGAATGGTCCATTCATGACTGTGTGAACCAGAGAAGAGTTCCTCATCTCTCCTTTGCTGATTG